TCTCACTCTCACTCTCTCTCTCTCACACACACTCACACACACACACACACACACACACACACACACACACACACACACACACACACACACACACACACACACACACACACACACACACACTTTGAAGACGCACACACCTTCATCTGAAAACACATAAATACAAGACGAAGATAAGAAAATATAACATCAAAATATGTATGTATTCGTCCCTCCGTCATATACTTTGATGTGATTTATGTCGCATGCCATTAGCGTTTCCCCTGTCCGGAATAATGTAATTGGGCAGTCGAAGTTATTATAATTTTCTTTAGAACATACGCAATTGGTTTAAAATTCAAATTCTGTTGATGATGTCCAACTTCGTCTCCTCCGTCTCGTTCATTTTGTCACAGTCGTTCGTTCGGGTTTCGTCAAGTTTCGGCTCCGTGTGTGCGTCGCCTTTCTCTTCCCTTTTTTTTTTCTCTCTCTCTCTCATTTCTTTCTTTCATTTCTCGTTTTTTTTTTTCTTTCTTTTTTCTCTTTCCGTGCGCGTCGGGTATAAAGATGATGATGATGGTGCGTGTGGCCGTCCTCCTCCTCTTCCTCCTCTTTTTCCTCTTCCTTCTCCTCCTTCTCCTCTTCCTCTTCCTTCTCCTCCTCCTTCCTTTTCTTCATCTCCTCCTCCTCCTCCTCCTCCTCCTCCTCCTCCTAATTCTTCCCTTTCTTCTTCTTCTCCTCCGCCTCTTACTTCTTCTTATCCGCCTCCTCTTCCTCCTCTTCTTTTCATTACGACCGGAAGTTCGGCCAGGTCAGATGGAGAACAGAAGGCGGCAATTTTTATATTAATTTACATATCAAGGATGGGTTGAGGAGGACAGGTGGAGGGAGGGGAGGGAGGGGAGGTGGAGGGGAAAGAGGGAGATGGAGGGGGATGAGGCTGGGGGGGGGAAGTGAAGCAGGAGTTGGAGGTGGAGGAGGAGGAGGAGGAGGAGGTGGTGGAGGAGGAGGAGGAGGAAGAGGAGGAGAAATTGGTCGAAACACTGCGCAATTTAGCGGTCAAGACTTCGGAAATGCAAGACAAGGAATATAAAAAAGCTAAGGTTCCAGGCTCCCATTTGACTTTTCATATTTGTTGTGTGTTGCCATTTGAATACAGAGCAGACCCACGGAGAAATGGGATTATCCCTAAATGTTTCGTTCGATCACGGTTCATTTCTCTCACGGCTTCGCTCACGTGATGCCCCCTTCCTCATACCCTCCCCCCCCAATCCCCACTCCCCCCCCTTTACCCGGAACCTCACCCAACCCAAGCCAGCATCTTCCCACGAGCAGCTTCAAAATCTTAAATATTGAACCCCGGGTGTATATACTTCCATACGTCTTCCTCTCCCCGTTGCTGAGAAATGTAGATCGCCGAGGATGCAACGAAAAACAAGAAAACAACAACAACAACAAAAACAAAAGCATAAAGGGAAGAAAAAAAAAATTATATGTATATGTATAGCCTTTGGTATTCTCTCTTATCCCTTCCTTTCACTCCTAACTCCCCACACTCCAACTCTCTCCCCTCACTCCTCCCCCTCCTTCCCCTCTCCCCATCACCCCTTCATCCTATCCATCCCTATCCCCTTCCCCAACAATCCCCCTCCCCCCCTCCCTTTTCTCAACTCCCACCTCCACCCCCTTCCACCCCCCCCCCCCCCGCCGGCCTCTCGAAACCAAATGGAAACAAACGCAGGCCATCGGAACGTCTGGTAATTTATGGCTATTCCCCCCCAGCCAATATGTGACCAGTCTTAAGATGCCAAAACTGTCATTGCCATATTTTGTACTGATGCCCTCCGCCCTCTCTCGCCCCCTGACCCCCCCCTGACCCCTCCCCCACCTATCTATTCCCCCCCACCCCCCCTCTCCAGCTCTCCCGATCTCAGACTGAGGGGGGGGGAAAGGAGGGGGGAGGGGGGTTATGATGATGATGATGCTGGCGGTGGTCGTGGCGCGGGTGATGAGAGGGGTGTGGTGGTGATGAGATGGTGGGATGGCTTCGGTGATGGTGGCGAGATGGTGGTGGTGGTGGTGGCGAGATGGTGTTGTGGTGGTGATGGTGAGTTGGTGGTGTAGTGGTGATGATGATGATGGTTTCGGTAATGGTGGTGATGGTGATGGTTTTATGACTTCTGTGATGGTGATGAGATGAGATGGTGATGTAGTGATGATGATGTTGGTAAGATGATGGCGCAGTGGTGGTGATGCTGGTGAGTTAGTGGTAAGATGTGATAGTCGTAGTGGAAGTGAGATAAAGAATATGCTTCAGATAGTGATGTTTTGATAGGAGATGTTGATGGTATCGCTACAGTGATGCATATGGTGTTGTAATCCCTGGAAGTCCATATAGATAGTGAGGTTACCTAAGTGATGCTGTTATGGTGATGAAACTTTTTAATGAAACTTGTGTGATGTTGATAAGGGAACGACTGTGAGAAAGTAATGGTGAGTATATATACATGGGAGTGAAATGTTCTCTATGTGTAAAAGCGATAAAATATAAGTCGAATTGTGATTGTCGTTGTTGTTTGTAGCAGAAGTAATAGTGATATGTTTGTTTTTATTTATTTTTATAACTTGTTATTGTTATTTTTTGTTTTCCTCACTGTTTTTATTTCTTGCTGCTTACTATTACTAATGTTAATGATATGATCATTAGTGTTGTTATTGTTCTTCTTGCATTGTGATCGTCATCATTATCTTTGGTGGTTTTAGTTTAAGTAATAGTTTCATCTTTATTTGCATTGATAATTTTAGTAGAACCGATATAAATTATAAATTAAATCATTAATGATATTAGGAACTATACTATTGAGATTGACTGTATAATAAACATTATAATCACAGATTTGCTGCTGTTGTTGTTGTTGTTGCCATTATCATTTCTAACTTATTTATTCATTGCGACACACATCGTATTTACAGCTAAGAAATACCATAAGGAAAAAAAAAACATATGATATAACGCAGTCCCCGATAACTATTCTCCTCGTTCGTTTTCTTTATCGTTGTTGTCATTTCACTTTGTTCCGGAATAACATTTTCTCTCAGGGTACAATTTTTGCATTCGATGATTACTTGAGGGCAGACCAGTCCTTGGGAAAGAGCACAAAAAGAGATGAGGGAAGGAGGAAGGGGGAGAGGAAGGAGGGAGGAGGAAGAGGAGGAGGAAGGAGGGAGGAGGAAAAGGAGGGAGGTAGAAAAGAAGGGGAAGGGGAGAGAGAGAGAGGGATAGGAGGAGGGAGGAGGAAGAGGAAGGAGGGAGAGAAGGAGGGGGAAGTGAGGGAGGTAGAAAAGAAGGAGAAGGGGAGAGAGAGAGGGATAGGAGGAGGGAGGGGGAGGAGGAAGAGGAGGGAGGAAGGAGGGAAGGGGAGAGGGAGGAGGAAGAGGAGGGAGGTAGAAAATAAGGAGAAGGGGAGAGAAAGAGGGATAGGAGGAGGGAGGGAAGAAGAGAGAGAGAGAGGGAGACAGAGAGAGGCAGATATATAGAGAGAAAGACATACAGATAGACAGATAGATTATCATACAGACAGACAAACAGAATCATAGAATCATAGGTAGCCGTTCTCGAACCCCCTCCCCCCCAATGTGTACCCTCTTAGCCCCCCCCCCCCTCCTTTCTTTATCATCATCGTCCAGAAGGAATTGTTCACTTTTCACTCCAGTTGAATTCTCAATTTTATGAAGTGAGTTGACTTTTTTTTTCTCTTTTTTTTTTATTCTTAAAAAAAAATCTTTTCATCTCTTACTTTTTTTTCCTAACGACATGCTGATTTTAGTGTGATGAGGCCGTGTAGTGATGAGCTAAAGGGGGGTGGGGGGAGGAGGGGTGAAGGGGTAGGGGGAGGGGGGAAGGGCGTCTTCCTGGAACTTTCCTTGTCGTTCAGTTTTTTTTTTTTGTCGCTGACTGTCCTTGTAGATTTCTTTTGTCGCTGACTTTTCTTTCTTTTTTGTTGTTTTTATTTTGGTTGAGTTTTCTTAGCGCTGACTTTACTTGTTGACTTTCCTTGCAGATTTTTTTTTATCGTTGACTTTACTTGTTGGAATTTTCCTTGTTGTCTTTTTATTCGTTGAGTTCTTGTAACGCTAATTTTACTGCTTGACTCTTCATGATGACTCTCCATGTGGACTTTTTTTTTATTTAGCTCCGAGTTATCTTTGCATATATTTTTTTCATGATGAAAATATTCTGCTGAAGATTTTTCATGCCAAGAACTTTCTCAGACGATTCTTCATTTTTTTTTTTTTTTTCACTTTTTTTTTCATCAAAGAGAAAGGGGGGGGGGGTGATTAATAAAGAGATCATTGCACTCCGCCACTCGGTCATATTTTATTTTATATTAATTATTTCATTTTTTCTTATTTCTTTCTCTTCGTGTAGAGTTGTTGCAGTTGTTGTTGCAGTTGTTGTTATTTGTTGCTGTGATAATCATCTATGTTGCTGTTGTAATTTTTCATTTATTTTTATTGCTATCTTTGTGAATCGTAATGATTGTTATTGTTATTATTATTTTTGTTACGGTTATTGTTATTATTACTACTATTATTATTGTTATCATTATTACTGCTGTTGTTATTTATATTGTGTTTATGGTTATTATTATCGTGATTATTATTATCATTATTATTGATATTTTCATTACTATTAATATCATCGTCGTTGTTGTTATTGTTAACTTAATTGTTATTATTATTATTATTATTAAACTGTTTATATTTTGTTGATAAAGTATATATTAATTATTTCCATCCTCATATAGTTCATGTATTTCCATTTCTTTATCAAGGCAGCAGTTCAACTCAACAATTTCCCGCCCATTTTTCTGACGCCATCATGCGTGATTCATCTTTTTCGGTAAAGATCGTTTTTTTTTTTTTTTTTTCTTTCTCTCTCTCACTCTTTTAATATCACTATAATTTTCACCATAATCTATCACTCCCCGACGCGCCCGCACACCATCGACTCGGGCCGCCCA